TTCCCACCATACACGCCCCCTCCCCCACATCCCCCCCCCCATACACGCCCACCAACTCCCTTTCCCCCCATACACGCCCACCACCTCCCTTTCCCCTGCCATACACGCTTGAATTCACATATTCGATCCCTTATGTTTCATTTGGTTTCAGTTAGATCCATGGAGAGCTGACAGTGTTAATTAGTGGATAAGTAAGGGGGAAATGGTGCCGTCTACACAGTAAAGGTTGACTGCAATAGATAAGTACATCCGTCGCCATGACTAAAATATTACGTGTTGTTCTTCTTTTCGTTATTTTTACCAGTGGTTTTTAGATGAAAAAAGCCACAGACCTCTATGAAGTCTGTGGTGTGGCGCAGGTACTTCACTGTTCCGCGCAGCTTGGTGTCTGTTGGAATGCTAACCGGTCAAACCTGGGCTTTCTTTATAGCATGTAGAGACAATGTCTTTGGCACACGTTCAGTATTATGTGGAGCCTGCCCCCATAAACAAATTTCTGAATCCACATTCTTGAATTTCTTGTATATGGCTTCTGTGTCTACTGTGTCTTATACGCAGACTACATATAATGCCCTGTCTTTTCATATGATGATGGTGACTGGATCTTCATGGCTGTGTCCTGGATAGGAAGTGCTCCAGTGGGTTCTATTTGCTAACTTGATCTGAATATTATTTTTTTCATAAGTGCATCCGCTGTGTGAAGCCCCGATTTCTTTTACAATGTGCTCTACTATTGACAGAAATCCACAAAAACAGTTTTTATAATAAACACGGTCCTCTGCGACGGGCGGCTGCGTGGTTTCGAGGCATGGTGTCCGCCTCGATTACTAGAGGTTTTTCCCCCTGGTCTCTGTGTAGTGAGATCGGACGCCAGTGTGCATTGTTGTAAAAAAATTCCTTGGCAGTTGGGAATCGAAAATAGTAGCCTCACTGCGTTGCCCGGGTAAAATTTAAAAATCTAAGTTTCTCAGGATCCTCGCTGGTGCTACAGAGCGTGAGCACTGTGCTGAACTTCTTCGGACTCAGACTTGAGTTAGAATAAAAACGAAACACGTATGGGTTACTACTCGTGTACCATAATGTTGATCCGTTGTTGTTCAAACCTGTCCCCCGCGGACATCCAGCCCTGGGTACATCTAACCGACACAGCCGCACAGTTTGTACTGATGTAATTTAAATGCAATGATTTGCATACATAAAACACCACGCGTGGATAATAGATATCGTACAGAACACTAGATAATAATAAAATTGAAAATTAGATAACCTATGTTTCAAGCATCTCCAAATATCAGTCAGTTACTGAAACACGGAAACAAATGGACAGGTGGAAACGAGAACATGTAAGAGAAACCATTGAACGAACGTAAATAAAGTGTACCAAAGGTGGTGGACTAGATTCCACACTTAACATACACTGATTCGCATTCACTGAAGTTAAGGAATAATATACTCTAGGCCAATGCTTCACAAACTTTTCTTAGTCGCGGCGCCATTTTTTTTTTTTTTTTCCAAATACAATTTTACCACGGCTCCCTACACTAAGTAAAAGTATCACTTTACGTATGTAAGAGATTGAAAAAAAAAAAAAAAAAACTTGTGTATCTTCAAATTTTTCGCGGCGCCTCTGTGAAGAGGTCGCGGCTCCCTGAGGCGTCGCGGCGCCCAGTATGGGAATCACTGCTATTGACAATTTTAGAAAGTAGAAGCTTTTAAAAGCCATATATGCGTACCGAAACTCAAACCTAGTACCTTTAAATATCACCTTTAGCACCGGCTGTAAAGTCCGAGGTAAGGTTATGATTTTTCGTCCATTTTTAAACTGTATGTTTCCAGAACTTGAGTCCTGCGTGGACATCTGTTTTACATAAGTGACTTATTTGTATGCAGACTGCTGGTTTCAGCCATCTCGGGCACATGCCTTCTAATTTAAAAGGAAACACCCCCTGTAGTCTACATTAGCAACATGCTTGTTAAGGAGCTGCAAGGATACATTTTTCCAACCCCCCCCCCCCTCCCACCCCCACCCCTAACCCGTAACTAAACGGGGCTTCGCAACCCACACGAGGAAGACTAGTGTTAATTCCCTCTTTTTGAGATTCAACCCTGTTGTAGTAGAAAACGGTACTTGTCATCGTCGCAGTTCCTTAAACCTGGCAAATACGATCTATTTATTATCTCGAAATCTCGGGACGACAATCACCAAATATTCGGCCGCATCCAGAAGTGGACCTAAGAACAAGCGCTCATACCACGCACGACTTTGACAGGCGGAGCAAATACCATCTGCCCGACAGACATTCGTTGAAGAGAGAGGGAGACAGACGTCATAACGGCATTGATTTGAGAACCAGGTCAGTCAATTTCATCAGTGGAGCTTGTTAGCCCCTGAAAACTATTAAATACCTCTTCTCACCCCTTAAGCCTATTGGGCATATATCATCTATATTTCATTGACTAATCGACACTCAGTGGGTGATGTGGCTCAACATTATGCCGACCACCTTTACGTCCAAGGACTTTACCTGGTAGCCATTTAAGACTGTGTCGACCTGGGAGAAAAAAATCCGGCTCCGTTCGGATATGAACCCACGACCTTCAGATTAACAGGCGAGCATCTAGTTGCTATACCACGGCGGCTCCACGAACCCGTTCAAGTGGCCAATTTATGAATGATAGTGTTCATTTCTAAAATGGTGGCAGTACAGTGTTAAGTTATACATATTGTTTATAGGACCGTACGAAGCAACACCAACATTTGTTACTGGGAAACTTTACGTTCAGCAGTTTGAAATTATACTGAACAGTCAATTCTTCATACAGTTGTCGAAAAAAATGTAAAGGGGGTCCGCTGCCTGCAATTGAAACGAACTGGTTATTTCTAAACTATTAACCACGTACATAGTCCCTGTCCGCATCTGTGGCTTAGGTGTTGCGAACGCGCTTCGTAATGCCGGAGTGCCAGTTTCGATCATAGCTGCGGACGATTTGTGTTGCGTTGGTTTCGAAAGTGGGTCAGAGTGTTGACCGTTGAGAGAGCAGTGGCATTTTACTGAACATAAAACTTGCTCAGAAAAACCACAACAGCTAAGACTATTCGTATTCGTATTCGGCCGAATAGTTGGTCTCGCTATTCGTATTCGGCCGAATAGTGAAAATCACTATTCGGTACAGCCCTACTTCTTAGTCATCATCATCAGGTGCCTTGCCGACTGGCGTAGGCGATCATGCCTCTCCATAATCTGCGATCTCCTGCAGCATGTATCAGTTCGGGTGCTGACACACCTCCATGCCATGCAACAAGACTGTCAAGCATCTTCTCTCGTTGTCTTCCTCTATCCCTTTTTCCACAGATCTTTCCAGTGGTCACAACATGTTCTATTTTCCCTCTTCTCATAACATGGCCGAAAAATGATGACTGTCTCCTTCTGATGTCTGTGATAAGTTGTCTTCGGGCGCCCGCCTCTTTCAAAACCTCTTGGTTACTCTTTTTTGGCTGTCCAAGGTATTCTAAGCATTGTTCTGTAAAAACCACATCTCTGAGGCCTCTAAAAATTATTTGGCCTGCCTACCGATTATTCAAGATTCACTTCCATATGTTAAAACTGGATGTATGTAGCATGCAAGAATTCTTTTTCTAACCTTCAATGACAAGGATATATTGCACAAGATGTTTTTCATTTTATAAAATGCAGTTTTTGCCTGTCCAATTCTGTTTCTTATTTCAGTTATGCATCTTCCATCTGATGTTATCCATGTGCCCAGATACTTAAATTTCTGTACTTGTCCTAAAATAACACCATTGACTTTTATTACACATTTAGGAATAATTTGTTTCTTTGATACCACCATTACTTCTGTCTTCCCATTATTCAAACTGAGGCCCATTCTTTCACTTTCTAACACCACAATGTCTATCATTTCCTGTAATTCTTTCTGACTTGTTGCTATCAAGACTGTGTCATCAGCATAATGTAAATTGTTTATATTGTGCCCACCAACCACAATTCCGGGCATATCAATTAAATATCTCATTACATATTCACTGTATATTGAAAACAGCAGATAGCACACAACATCAAGCCATGATGTACAGACCAGACGGGAAGCGAATGGAAGTGACAGACAGAGGGAATTACAGAGGCCCTGAGAATCCGAATTTACGAAGCACATATAAGGGCTATTTCCTGTAAATTATACTTCGTCTCGACACCACAAGGTACAGGAGGATCTAAATGAGATAAGAGGATGAGATAATTATAATTTGTGTCGTTGATGTTTTTATTATATGCTGAATGGGAACAAAAAAACAAAACAAAAAACAATATGTCTGAAATACTAGGAAATGCATACACAAATGCTTAAACACAAGACCGTCTGTACATGTGTGTGGAGGGCGGTGGCTTGGAGGGCAGGGGCGGGTAATACTGAAAGAGACAGCTTTCGCCTTACTCTCCCCTCCCCCAATATCCGGCGAAAAAAAAAAAGGGGGGGGGGGGGGAGTCCAAGGTATGTGAACCCCTAACGTCCATGCCTATCTTGAGCATTTAGCATGGCTAGCACATAAACAGATATTTTAGCAAATCATTACCGTATCGTCTTTTACGGTATTCTTTTCCAAAGGGTTCTTGTTCTATCTTTTCTTCCAACAGAATGGGTTATCAGAATCACGAAGAAACTTCAATTGTCTGGACTTCTCATTCAGTAATAATTCTTCAATTCCTTATTTTAAAGTTTAAAAAAAAAGTTACATTGTTTTCCTACGCTAACTCAAGTTTGGTGTCTAAGAAGAGCATGTTATATCACCTGTGATTTTCTTAGCGTTCGGATATTTTTAAATCATAAAAAAAAAATTACTCCAACTGTGGGCGTTACCCAAGGGGAAACACTCTAAACACAATAAGGGAGATTATTAAAACATTTTTGCTCAGATGTTTTTACCACTTTTGAGGACTGTGTAGTACAAGGGATACTCTGTGAATTTAAGGCCGGCTGCTAAGATGTTGCTGTTTTTAATGACATCTTTTCAAGACAGTACCCCACAACATTTATTTTATAAGTTTTTTCACGATGATGAACCTTCGGACAGCCAAGAAGTAGAAGACTCGCAACAGAAAGCTGAGGCGCCACCACTAGATCCAGTAGAATATCGGAAAGCCAGGAAGAGAAAACTCCAACGTGTTGTTGAACGTCTGCATTCCATGTACCTGTTTTATGCTGCTACCAATGCGAAAACCACAGAAGCCGAGATGCAACTGTTAAATAGCGATGCTATAGTTCCAGAATTTGAAACAGGACATTTTAGGTTAATCAAGGGTGATCCGTTTCCCCAGGATATGCGCGTGATATGGATATCTGTAAATGGCGTTGGGGTAGCCTTCGTTTGTTATGATTATGACAACAGAGTTCAGGGAGAAATAACCCTGCGTGTCTTAGTACGAAAGCTTCACGAATGTCGTTTTATTTTACAACCAAGTGAAATTTTTAACAGGCCTGAGAAAATTGATATTCTGTTAAACAAATTTGTGCCTTGTGGGCATACATTGTTTATGAATCATCGAGTGATCAAACAACTGGAGAAAGAGTGTGATGTACTTTTCAAGGCTATTGGAAATTAGTAGGCTGGTTACAAGATCATCATTAAATCATGCTGTTGGTATCAATATTATTATCCTTTTCATCATACACTGTTTTGAGTCTCTGCAGTTTTTTTTTTTTTTTTTTTGCTTCTGACAGACGTGGCTGTTACATTTTCCTCCATTTGTAGATTGAAAAGATACAGCTTTGTTGCCCAGCTACTGAGTTGAGTGCCTGTCATGACACTGTAAGCTGCAGATTTCATTTGGAATGTTTTTCGACTGTGACCAATGTGGTGTTGTGAACTGTAGATTCGGAAAATTGTCCATGGCGGTTGGCCACAGAATTAGTGGTGCCTTATGTGATTAAAATTGATCGCATGTGCAACTGGTGATCTGTTTGTAACTGCTGTTTCCATCTATCATGAACTGCATTTCTAATGTCAGACTGTGTTAGTATTTCCGATGGCTGCCTTGTGTTAAAATTGATCGCATGTGCAACTGGTGATCTGTTTGTAACTGCTGTTTCCATCTATCATGAACTGCATTTCTAATGTCAGACTGTTTGTGTTAGTATTTCCGATGGCTGCCTTGTGCTTTTTATGTGTGTGTATGCTAATACTAATGGAAATACTGAGACTACAGTGTGTCAGATTTTTCCACAAGAGACTGTGATGAACATCCTGTATGTTTTTCATAGGCACAGGAGTGGAGCAACTGTTGGGTGACCCATTTACCATGAAGCTGAAACTAAGATTACCACATTCTCATAGATGCTCTGTCAGCCCTACAGGCTGTAGAGACCTAAACTATTGACAGCACACTGTGGGGTGTACAGTCCTCAAACATGATGCATCAGCCTGCCAGGCATAGGAGGTTGCATTGAAAGTTGAGACCAGAAAGAATCATTTGAAAAATCTAATCTCAAATGTGGCTTCATTAGTTGTCCACGCTATTCAAGAACTTTCCTTGCATGATTAGGACCTATCAGTTATCCTCATAATCACAATATGTGATCATTTTTAAGTTTGGATGCAAAGGGATCTTTTTCACCTGTGACTGATGAACAACAAAGTCTAATAAAGGTACTAGCTGAGTTACCAGAAAAAGTAAAAAGCCACCCATGCTGTCAAAGCTAATGAAGCTGCTGATGCTTTGACCAAGGATGACAACATTAAACAACAAATCTACCAACCACTATCTTTCCCAGAAGTCAAAATGTTTCAAAGGACATTTATTGGAAACCAAACGCTAGTTATAATGGTGATAAAGATATCCTCAGTCATATGAAGAAAATATACCACGTTGTCATTTTTCATGTACACGCTGGACTTTGCCGACTCGGTAAGCACTCAAAAAATTAGGTATAAGCCAGACAGCTCTCTGCTGGTGTCTTTATACTGAACAGATTCCCAGAACATGTCTTGCAAGACTGTCCTCTCCGTGCACTGCTGCAAAGCAACACAAGGCCACAGGAGACCTGACAACTAAGCGACCTTGACATCCCAGCTTATTGTCTATAGTATATCACTGAAGTAGAAGAATCATCAGAAAGTATAATGTTACTCAGGAAAATTTCTGTAATTCTTTCTTCATAAACAACAAGGACATTTTAAAGTATTATGGAACATAATTTATAGTTATAATGAAGTCAATAGGTAATCAGTAATTTCCTATGTAATAGACATGACATATAATTATTTATTACTTATGATTTGTGTGTGATTGCAGTAAGACAGCTTTGGACAATAGTTATTGATACTCGTAATGTCTAATATGTAGCGTCATATATCTATGTTTTCATTATCTTCTCATAGTAAAGTAGAAAATATATAGATAAATAGTGATAGAATCACAAATGTACTTTCAGGGTTTGCTGGTATATGGGGAAATGACAAGCCTGAGTGGCTAGCAATCGTTGGAAACAACATGAAAGATTGCTGCTTTGTAAATATATTATGCATGTATTACAGCAACAGGGACAGACTACTGCTTTGTCAGTGCCAGAAATCTTAGTGCAGTACTTCTACTATATCAGTTTCATGTACATTACTGCCACAGTATGCTTTATTGCAGACTTAAACAGTGTAGACTATGTGCTTTTGTTTTGTTTTTTATGCTATATTGTGAAACATTGTGAAATTTGTCTAATTTGTTATTAAAATAATAATTGTCTGTTTTATATTCAGATATCTGTATGCTGTATGAATCAAATAATTGAACCCCCCGTATATAACTCCTTATTACGAGTATATTTAAAGATATCACATTAGTGTAGATGGTTTTATAATAATTGTTTATAGTCTTCACAATGTATTTAAGATATCCTGAGATAATTTGAGTAGTGTTATATCTAATAATACTTTCTGCTATTTATTTTCAGTTTTATTCAGTAATTTTGCCTGTCTGTTGCTCTTAAACCTATTTGAATGGTTATGATGAACCATCTTTTTACCTACCAAAAATATTTCTTTTCTGCCTGTATTTACCTCTTTTGCAGTGTATGAATAGGGAGGGATCTTTGAGCTTAAGGATTTTGAGCTGCATGGCTACTACAGTCACCATGAACTGTGCAGAATAAGATTTTATTTGGCCCCTGAAAGAGAAAATTGATAACCTTATCAATGATTCAAAATCTGGGGCTCCAACATAAAAGTCCACCAGCCACTCCTCAGTCAGTTTGGCACTAATATATAAATAGGAGCTTTGTTTTTTAAATCATTTGTTCTTCTTCTTATAAATGATTTGTCCTTCTTCTTCAACGGCTATGAGTTCTGGTTGTTCATCCACTCCTGGACCTTGGTCCTAGTCCAGAACTTTGTTTTACATGCACTTCTGTTTTACAAATCTGGCTTATTTGTATGCAGACTGTTGGTTCCTTGCTTCTCAAGCAGATATACGGATGGAAATACCTCTGATTAGTCACCTCCTACAACAGTGCCTATTGGGGGCAGTGGGTCTATTCTTTGTTTTCCAAAAGGAAATTACGGACCCACATAGAGAAAATTTGTTTTACAATACAGTGTGAAGAATTTCTGATGTAAGACTTATTTGTTTTACAATACAGTGTGAAGAATTTCTGATGTAAGACTAATTTGTTTATCCTCAATAATTGTTCTTGCTGGAACTCTGGAATCATTTTTTACGTCCCAGATGAGTTCTCCTTATCAGGTCTACACTGTATTGATCTATTCCTTTTTTCATAATTTTATTTTTATAATTTGAAACTGCTTACATTATTATTTGTTGTCCAGCTGTTTAAAGTGTCTATAAACTTTTTTATTTGTTCATAAATTTGATTCTCTGTTCCACCTCTTCTGTTCATATGTTGTAGAAATGTTATTTGTTTTTGTGTGGTTTTGATGAGCGATCCTGAACACCAGCAGATGTAGCATCTCATATTTCTTCCTTTTCTACAATATTCTCATGTCTTTGAAAATAAAAATTGGCTTTCTGTTTTTTTCACCTTTCTTTTACTCTTTACCCAACACTTCACCCCATACCATGTTTGTAACCATATGTAACTTTTGTTTTTGTAGTTTGGTTTTATAACTTTTACTGTGCTAGTCAACCATTGAGTCCCAGGTTGGAATCCTTGGTAAGGAGATTTTTTCTGTCAGGGACAAAATAAAATCCTCACCTGCACAGTCGTGGTGACAGCACTAGCCATGCAACCGTAAATCATCAGGCTCAAAGACCCCGCCCTCCTTCCCCCGCCTACATCTCAAAAGTGCTATAACAAAGGCAGTAATTGGCTTTTTTTTTTTGGCAGTCAGTCATTGTAAGCTGGCTTAGCTCTGTGTGTGTGTGTGTTTTTTTTTTTTTTCATCCTATGCATTTAAGAATATAATAGATACTTTGCTTACCTGCCAGAGCAGAGGTCTGAGGTGAATCCCCAACTGAGGCAGGTCACATTATTTTTCTGACCGTGTGGTTCTGCAGGCAGAATAGTTAATATTGAGGTGCATGACTTTATAGGTATCCAGTACTATTTAATATTATTAGACTGTCCACAACAATATGTAGCATTTCAATCTTTCATACACATGTGAAGCCAACAAATTCCATTCTGTGGCTGGATGAAACAGCCATCGATCTTAAACTTTGTGAAGCCTGGAAAATCTTCAGAAGGCAGTGCAGATTAATCAGGAAATCGTGGTGAGATAAGACTAATTTACCTGGTAAACAAATAGTAGGAGGAGGGAATATATTCCAAACGGCCTTGAAAACTACTACATTAATTTTACCAAACATAAATGTATAGGTAGTCACAAAGATATATTTATGGTAGCTTGACCTGTCCAAGTAATTTTAATATAATCTTTTTTTCTAAACAACTGAAGTGTTTAATTTAAATCACCTGTTTGTTGTAAAACTAAGCAGTTTGTTGACTCCCCTAAAATAGCCTGTAGAAAGTGATCAAGCCATTGACACTATGCTTTGTAAGTTTCTCAGATTGTGTAGCTCGCTTCATGAATGTAACTTTGACAGACTCCTCCTTCATGAATGTCACTTTGACAGACTCCTCCTTCATGAATGTAACTTTGACAGACTCCTCCTTCATGAATGTAACTTTGACAGACTCCTCCTTCATGAATGTCACTTTGACAGACTCCTTCTTCATGAATGTAACTTTGACAGACTCCTCCTTCATGAATGTAACTTTGACAGACTCCTCCTTCATGAATGTAACTTTGACAGACTCCTTCTTCATGAATGTAACTTTGACAGACTCCTCCTTCATGAATGTAACTTTGACAGACTCCTCCTTCATGAATGTAACTTTGACAGACTCCTTCTTCATGAATGTAACTTTGACAGACTCCTCCTTCATGAATGTAACTTTGACAGACTCCTCCTTCATGAATGTAACTTTGACAGACTCCTTCTTCATGAATGTAACTTTGACAGACTCCTCCTTCATGAATGTAACTTTGACAGACTCCTCCTTCATGAATGTAACTTTGACAGACTCCTCCTTTATGAATGTAACTTTGACAGTCTTCTCCTTCATGAATGTAACTTTGACAGACTCCTCCTTCATGAATGTCACTTTGACAGACTCCTCCTTCATGAATGTAACTTTGACAGACTCCTGAAGAAGGTTGCTGGAGCTGTGGAGTTTCTGCTTTGTATGATACTGTCAGTAGTGGCTTTCTGCTATGGGGAGAAAGTCTGAGCTGAATGGGATAAAACTGTGCAGTGAAGTCAGTCCTCTCAACTTTAAACTTTATCTACAACACACAAGACACATGTTAGATGGGAAATTCATCTTCTATGCCAGTGGGCATGACAGTGATGATTATTCTGATATCATAATATCCAAATATGATGCTAGACTCTGTGAATGAATAATAAAAGATATTATTTATTGTAAATATTAACAGAGTTTATATATTCTTTCACCCAGTGTTTCAAACCTTTATTATACCTGTGCTTTTGTATGCTAGCATTCAAAATAATCAATTCTAGGACCCAAAAGCTTCCGTTTTCAGTCACACTATCGGAGATACCAAATTTGATGATCGTGAAGACAACAAACCAGTGATGTGACTGAGGATTCCACAGAGATGAAACAATAACAATTTCTCAGCAGTTGAAAATCGAAAAGAATAGGCTGAGTAAACCACTGCAATATGTCCAAAGCTACCAAGGGTAGCATCTTTCCATATGATGTATTTGACATGTTTCTTCTCAGACTCTCAGCTCTCAACAAGTCTGCAATCATTTTCTACTTTGTCCATATTCCCTTCCTAATTTTCCTTCTGTATGCAATCATCAGCTTCGTAATGCTGGAATGACTGGTTCGATCCCAGCTGCGGGCCATGTGCTTGCGTTGGTTTCGACTGTGGTATCAAGAAAGCCGACCGTCCAGCAAGCAATAGCAAACTACTGGACGTAAATTTGCCTAGAAAAACCACACAACAACCAGGGGCTGCTGGGGTTGGTTCTGCAACGTCCTGTAAAAGAGAGGCAACTAACCTTATGCTATCATGAACCTGTGAATTAACCACAGTCACTAAGCCTTAACGTCCTGTTTGTGCACATCGTTAAATCCACTTATTAGTAAATTGATCAGAGACGTTCGAAAATGTCACCTACTGTCAGAGGCAGCCCGAGTCGCCCTGGTCTTCGCCAATTTACAAGGACTTATAACCCGTAACAGCTGTCCCTGGATTCGTTTCTAAGACCAATTAAAGCCAGGAAATATAGTTCCTCCACTCCGTTATTCAAAGCCTTGACAGTATTGCAAAGTTCATTTGTTTCCCATGTAGCATGAACACATTGTATCCCAGTTATAACACTGAGGGTTGAACCCGATACTATTGTGAAAACTACTATTATCCATCACACGCCTCGGCACCTTGTGAATCCTGCCATTAACACTGAAGTGGAAATGTGCAAGAGAAAAGACAAGTTGAACATCGAGAAGGTGGACTTCGATGAGCAGTTGGTATGCGTTTATTATAAAAACGTGTGAACGAGAGAGTTGGAGAAATTGCTTACAAAACAACAACTTGCATACTGTGGATTGAGTCTAGACCAGCAGTTCTCAAACTGTGGGTTGACCCTTTCACAAAGGTCGCCTAAGACCATCGGAAAACACATATTGATTGAAGCAGCAATGAAAATAATTGTATGGTTGGGGGTTTGCCACAACATGAGGAACTGTATTAAAAGGTCGCGGCATTAGGAAGGTTGAGAACCACTGGTCTAGACTTACATTTTCTTGCCAAGCAACCATGATATGGAATCATGATGCTTGATACGTTCGGTGATATCACCCATACAATATTTCCTTTAACAGTTACCAATCAAAGCCGATCTTCGCAGTGGAGATAACATTTGATGATGCGCCTTATTAAATTACGGTGGATACTGCAGTAAGCAACACTTCTAACCTCACTTAACGTATTCAGTGACCTGAGTAGGATTTTTTAACAGTAAGAGTCTTAGGTATGCGTTGAAGTTGAAAAATAAAGGAAGGTGGGGATTGGTCCGAACTGTATTGTTAAAAAAAAAGTAAAGGACCCCTTTCACCCCTTTGGCGCTAGACCTACATAAAAAAAAAAATCCGTATCGTCTTCCCAATTCATTACGTAGTAAATCACTTGTAGCCCCCCCCCCCCCCCCCCCCCCCCGGTAGCACCATTTGGCTGCATACAGATGACCGATTGCCAATGTTTAAAAAAAAGTTACAAAACATACCGGGTGGCTTTCTGTTTACAAGAAATGTTTTTGAAGCCTTATAAGCCATGAGGGTTTAAAATCCAACTGTTTAATTTCAGTTTCCCCTTGTGGGTTCCGGAGCCCTATTATAGGGAATACAAGAATAGACCCACCACCTACCCAAAAGCATGACGTAGGAGTCCACTAATTGGGAGCTTCTGTCGAAGTCAGAGTGCATCTGCCTGAGAGGCAAGGAACCAGCTGTCTGCAAACAAATGAGTCAGATTTGTAAAACGGATGCACACGCAACACTCAAGTTCTGGAAGAGGCCTGCAGTTCAGAAGTGGACGAACAACCAGATCTTTCTCCAGAGTTTACAGCTGGTGAACGCGAAGGAAGAAGAAGATGTTCAGTTGGGTAAGGGGAAGGGGGGCACGATTAGTTATAGACTTCTTACAATGCTCGTGGACAGGTGTTACCATTCTGACAAACTTTCTTGGATAAAGTCAGTGCTTTCTTCTAGGGAAAAAAGGTGCCGGTACTCACCACAAAATGCCTAAAACAGGTGCTGGTACTCATCATATAGTGTATATTACAGCTGAGAAAAAAAAAATGCCTAAACGTTGTATTTGTACTGTGTACAATTATGTACGCCGGGGGAAGGGGGTGTGGCTAGAGAACGTTTAAAACTCATTATCGCTATCAAATGTTTTCAGACTCATATGCTAAATACTATCAACTCAGTGTGTGCAGATAGGGCCAGACCTATATTGTATAGACCAATCGGCACCTGGTGGCTGATGGGGTAACATTATGCCGGTCGCCTTTACTTCCCAGAACTTTATTTTGTACCCATTTAAGACTGGGAGCCAAGGTTATTTTTGAAACAAAAGCAAGTCCGGCTCCACCAGGACCCTAACCCTTTACCCAGGCCTTTTTCTCAATAAATGAGCTGGACAATATCTATGTGGGTAAGTTCTAAAGAAGTAAAGGATCCTTTCTACATCACTTGTGCATAGGGGATATGATTCTAGATTCGCATTTGTAAAGACAGCTCGGCACTCGAGGGGTGATAGCCTTTGTGGTCAATAGCACCGGCCGCCTTTACCTCCCACGACATTATCTGGTACCGATTTTAGGCTGTTGCGATGGGGAAAGGGGGCGGGAGGTGTAATAGACAAATAAAATTTCATATAATTACGTAAATTACACAAACGACTAAAAGAAATGATTATACTATATACAGAATAGTAAACGTGTGCACTCAAAATATAGTAGACAATATATACCCTAACCCTAAGAGTTAATCGGTAAATTATTTATTGTTTTATATTGTGTGAAAATGTCTCCTACTGTAGCTGGTCTACGGATCCGAAGGTCGCGGGTTCAAATCCCAAGGAAGCCGAACTTTAAAAAAATACGACCTTGGCTTCCTTGTCGCCCAACCTTACATAGGTGCCAGGTAAAGTCCTAGGAAGTGAAGGCGGCCAAGATGATGTTGACCACATCACCTACCGGGTTCCGACTGTCAACAAAATATACACCCTATACTCCTGAAGACGTTAAAATGGTCCTTTTACTACTGCTGTTACTTTAATCGAGCCTTTCTGCCTAATTGTAAGTATTTTTTGTTTTAAAGTGTGTGTAGCGTTTGTAGGTTTATTTATGGTATTACATCATTTGAATAACTAAAACTATATATAAATACTTTAAAGTATATGTGCTGTTGTTGTAGTTCCTAATTGAATACAAATATAAAAGAATTTCAAAAATGTGAACTCAGCTACACACGTTGTACTTATGAACGTTCCTGGCACATTCTTCGTATTTCCTTCATTCCATTCGCGGGAATATCCTTTCTGTTGTGTTTGAAACGAATCCGATTTTCTTCATTTAGAAGCATTCATTTTGTTTCCAGAAACATAGCAATCGTTAACAGACATTTGAGAGTGATAATAAAAGTTCCCTGTGTATCCTCAGTTAATTGTGACCAAGTTAGATAATAGTATATAGAAGATTACCATGATGAACGGCACGGCAGGTAGTCACGCTATCGTTGTGCATGTTCGAAAAGTGGATGGCGAAGGAGCGCTGCCGACGTTTTCTTACACTGGTCGAGAGGGGCAAGTTGCCTGTAGCGTAGGAAACAAGGTCTACATATTTGGAGGAGTCGAACAGGGTCAGGGAAATGAGCCGAAGGAGTCTAACGAGCTGATTGTGTTTGATCTAGGTACGCGCAGTGAACACTTCCCAGATCTCAAGTAGTAGTTAGCTTTAGACTTTAGCCTTACCTTGATGATAGTCATAGTATAATTAAACTAACTAATAGTAATACTCAAATACTAATTTTTGACGTAGCAATGTAAAACTATTTTGTTGTATTTAATTATATTATATATTATTATTATAATTAATAGTCTCCATATGCTACTGCATACAAACTAAAAGACTAATGCTACTACTACTATATGCATGTATTAATAAAAATAATATGCACACTAGATTTTTTAACCATCAGTTAGTTTAGAAGTTTTGGCTCTCCTCGAGACTTCGTCTCCATATTATGGCGGCCAAACAAATACCCTAACAGGGCCTCAGTTGTGTGTAAAATGCGGACTTCCTCCGATGAACACATCATGGCAAAACTAAGTTTTTACTGGTGCTTTTTCTACTCACCTACTCCTAATACTACTAATACTACTACTGTCCCTACTCAAAGACTGGGTTTGGAATCACCACTGACCAGAGTATTTATTATTTTATTAGCATTATTAAATTATTTTTGTTTATTATCTGGCTGCTGGCACTCAGTGAGGCCAAGGCCAAAAATCAGTGGCAGAAATGTTTTAAAATATCAATACTGTTACTGTTATTATTATGTCTTACTCAGGATATTATAATTATCATCAAATGCACTACCACATGGTAAAGGTCTAGACTCTAGGCTAGTCTGCTAAGTTAACTACCCAGACGCCAACATTTTAAAAATGTGGATTGCCAGAGGCCTGAGCTGCAGCATAGAAAGATCATTAATACAACAGCCAATTAGGGCGATTATCCACGAGCAACATACTAGATCCCTGCAGGCCAGATTTTGCCCGTGGGCGGCCAGTTGAATATAGCACTGGTGTAGGCAGTCAGATCGTATGGTTTTTCCTTTCACATCTTATGATCTCCAACAATATAAATTATTAATAATTTATATGTTGATAGCTTACCATAACAAAACAGTTCTTCTATTGTCTATTCTTGTCACTTTTTTTATAAATCTCCCCTTTTGTCACAACATATTTCAGTGTTCCTAAGCTCTTTTATAGTGCTAAAAAATGTCAGCAAAAAAAGATAATAATTCCGCCTCGATGGGAGTTTGAATCCATGACTACTTGGCTAGCACTGCATTACCACAGCTCCTGAAAAATAAATTGTAGACAGCATATTAGTGAAGAATTAAAGTTGCAGTGATACGGTTTTAAAGAATATTGGGAACGCTATAGACATATTTTAAAAACCTGATGTCTTGAAAAAAAAGCCTGGCATATGATACGACATCTAGTTTGAGAATAGAGGTGGTGCCTGCTGCCGGCTTGAGAACCAGCTGTACACACATGTCCTGATTGTAACTGATTTACATAGCATGTGGAGAAAGGTGGATCAAGGTATGCTCGGTACATAGTGGCTAGTGTTACTTTAGAGGTCCCCGGTTGGGTAGTAAGCATCTAGATATATTCTCTAAGGAGATGCCCATGTGTCTGGGAAATTAACAGGCGGGCAGATTGGGTAGTTCTGCACTACTTAAGGTAAATTAATGCTTGACAACAAGCTAGATGTTGTAAAGGCCCTTGGGGAGTGAGTAAACAGTTTTGAAACGTGATTAAATAATCACAGTCTGAAGAGAATGGAGCAGCGATGAGTGACTAAAAAATCGCCAAAGCTCAGCACACAGGTAGCGGCAAAATGGACATAAATCAGACTGTTTGGAACTTTGCGCTAGATGCTGAAGATGGGGATGAAGCTTTATAAACTCAAAAAAAAAAAAAAAAGATAACAATGGATTTGCATTTTTTGAAGGTTATTATTGTGTTACTGAGAGCTGTAGTGTCATAAGTGACTCATCAAGAAGAATAACACATTGCCAGTCACAGAGATCTTCCTCTTCTTCGCATTCACCGACTGTAGATTCTGGCAGAAAGTTCTGGTTGCTCTTCCACTTCTGGACTTTAGTCCTGTTCCAGAAACTGAGTGTTGCGTGCACATCTGTTTCATAGGTCTGTCTAATTTGCATGCAGGCTATTGGTTCCTTGCCTCTTCCGCAGATGTACTCTGACTTCGAAGGAAGCTCCCAATTAGTCGACAAGGCAGTTGGTCTGTTTTTTTTTCCCCCCACAATAGGGCCCCAGAACCCACACGGAGAAGTCACAGAGATAAATGGAGACATTTGATATCTGCAGCTTTTTCGTTATGTAATGACGAAATGGAACATGTGACAACTGGAAAATAATGCAAGAAATTACTTGACAGCCTTTTGTGGTTGCACAGGAAGTTTTGAGCACATGAACTGATGCTGGTCAAAATTGTAGATTGTGGAGAGACGTGGTCGCTAAAATCAGCCGGCAAGGCACTTGATGATAATGAGCTATGAACCTTAAGGGCTCAGAATGCTACAGTATAGTTTGCATGATGTTAATGATGCTAGTTCTGACATATTATCATTGTTATGCCCTTTAACTCATTAAGTACCAAGCTGCTCCTGAAGAATTCATTAGTTACTGCATATATGCTTTTCTTAACCCCTTCTGTCATATCCGTTTACTGATTTAAGCATTTCACTCCTTTCATATATCTTTTACGTATTTTAGAGGGAAGATTAAAAATGTAGATAAATGCACCTTTAACCAATTTATTAGTGAACTGTATGAAATGTTTTTTATTTACAGATTTTCCCTCCTGGAATTCTGTCATAGTCATGACCTATTTTCTTTAGTGTTCTGTGTCGAAAGGGCTAACTTTCTCAGAAGTTACTACAAGCATTTAATATTTCAGAATATAACTGAACAAGACCAATTTCATATATTGGCACATCCTGAGGAGAAACGAACAATCACCAAACAAGCACTGGAATGGGAAATACATGGACTAGGGAAACGAGAATTTCTGAGAGAAACACTAAGACCTATCTTGATGAGAAAGGCCAAAGGTGCCAGACTGGATTCAGTCCATGATTTTGAAAAAAATTGCACAAGATTAGTGGGCTTGAGAAATAGAATGTGAGCTATGTGTGGCACAGCAGGATGATGATGAAATTCAACCCATCTGCACTGAACTACATGTAACTGTTTTATGGTGCCCCATCCTAACTGTGCTGTATGGCTATACAGTTAAACAGGTTTTTTAGAATGGCAGATGTCTGATTCTCATAATTGAAGTGTTAATCCTGCACAATGCAAATCTTGAGAGGGCACATTGTAAACAAAAATGATGGTTTAAAAATTTTCAAGGATATATAGCTTAAATAAAAGCCGGTAAAATAACGCATGTCTGGTCCTGAAATAATTAAAAATGTTTCTTTTCATATCTTTTACAGCAACTTCTAAATGGTCTCAGCCTCGAATTGCGGGGATTCTGCCACCGCCCCGATCTGCTGCATCATTAGTTGCTGTAGGGACAAAGTTGTACTTATTTGGAGGCCTCAGTCACATGTCCGGATGGTTTGATGACTTGTTCGTGTTTGATACAAGTAAGTTTAATTCATTATGACTTGTTATAAGAGGACTGTAAGGAAAGGGGCTAGTCGTAAATTAACACCATCATGTTGTGTCTTTTGAATGTAAGTGTTACAGTAACATTTTTAGACTAACATAGATCAGATAACAAAAATAATACTGACATTCTGCAAAATCTCATTAGGAATAAATGTAAACAGCACCGCATGTGATGCCTAAGAAGAATGCTTGGTATTATGTGGCAAGAAAAGATCACAAACACTGAGGTTCTGGAAATAGCAGGTATCACAACAATTTTCTCAATCCTTGGTCTCTGAACGCTCAGGTGTCTGAGTGTGACTTGGAGAATGGAGGATGATGGAGTCCCTAAGGACATTCTCTTTGGTGAATTATATGTTGAGGTTGGTCTCTATGATATAAAGATGTGTTCAAATGGGACATGTACAGGACAGTGATATTGAGGTAGATGTGTGGTAAGAAAATGCCACAAACTGTTTTATGTTTAGAGAGAAAATCAGCAAGGAAATAAATGGTGATAATGGAAGAATGATGATAATGGAAGAATGATGATGATAATGGAAGAATGACTGCAGACAGGTTGAGAGCTAAATGTCTGAGAAGCACACTGAATACATGTGATGGCCACAGCGGTCTTGAAATCCATGGTATCTGATTGGGGTTGACTTTTCATAACACGGATGGGTCTTTCTAGGCGTGCTTGCCATCAGCATGGGTTGCAATTCCCATGCCTCCCTGTAGCACAGTATAACATTATCGTCTGGGAAGATTGCAAGGTCCCTACCTACATAAACAGCACCATTTCCCAGAAAGTTAAAATCTTTGTTCATAGTGAATGTCACTGGTTTAGAAAGAACTATAAAGGAAGGCTTAGTTCCTAGAAAAAAGAGGCAAGGATTGACTAGAATGAAGGTGGACATGGCATTAAACACATTGGACATGAAAGTATTGGTGCAAGGGAACTGGAAAATAATTAGCATTTTTTTTCCCATGTGGCCCTAATGTGATTGACACTACTTCATGATAATTAAACGTTGTGTGGTTTGTGATTTCTCTTGTATATCTTGTTGTCTCATCAACTTCAGTTTTCCTAATTCCTCTGAGTTGTGTGCATTAAGTCTGTGTATGTGATTAAAATGCATTTCTGTAAGATACTTTTTCTAAAGACCATTTCCGTCCAGGCTGTTGGATTTTGTCTGAATCTTGGTAGCTCTGCAAATACAGTTTTACCAGGGCAATAAACCTAAGGCCTACACTTTGTGATATTTAATTCTAGAGTGGCCCAGCTCGCACATAAACTCTTTTATTTTGTCCTCATCTGAGAATCTGTGTGTTCTGTCTCACTACCCAAGAGATCAGAGGAGTATGTGACAGTTAAAAACTAGTAGTCTGTGTAAAAATTCTCAGTGCGATGTTGAGGCTTCTTTCTTCTAAGCCACAGGGGAACACCAGTGTGTCGGTTGCACCACCCCAGAATTAGGCTACCATGTTATCTGAGTGGCAACATCATTTAACCTAATCTTCACCTTTATGTTAGATGTGGAAGTCATAGTCCATGTGTAGATAGCTAGAGTGTTAAACAGCTAACATAAAACACGTCACATTACTGGAACATGAAAATTTAACTTGGTCACACGTCTGTATGGCATTCCCTGTGTACGTAATGATGTCCCATTGGAAAGGGGGAGGGGGTGTCCCCATTGCACCAAAAAAAAAAGCATGTCATAAAAGCTGACTGATTAGGAGTTTGCTGAAGTCCGATTTTGTCAAACAGGTGCAGACATTGATTAGGAGTTTGCTGAAGTCCGATTTTGTCAAACAGGTGCAGACATCTCAGCCTAGCTGTAAACCACCACACAACATGGCAGCTGCCTTTTTAAGATTGAATGCAGAAACTTCGTGGCATAATTTATACATTTCACTTTATCAACATACTGCAAGACCATTAGTTGTTGAATAAATAAATAAACTACATTTTCCTATTTAAAGTTCCTATTATTACTTTCAGTCACAAATTCCTGGAGCATTCCAGACACTGAAGGAAACAGACCAAGGGCTCGCGATAAACTTCAAGCAGTTGCTATCGACTCAAATATATATTATTTCGGGGGCTTTGGGCCAAAAACAGATGAAGCTGAGGCAGCTGATGTGAGTAACTTCATACGCTTACATTTTTATTTTTAGTCACTGCTTTCTTGAAAAATGTGTTATACAATCCCAGACCTGCTCACTTTATGACAGTTTGTTATGCTTATTTCTGGTATAGAAATATTTAACCTTTTCTCATTATCTACTGGAAACTTACCTTGTTTATGCTGTTTTTAGAAGGTAAATTAAATCATGCAATATGTTGTACATCTTCTACCAGAACTTAACCCTTTAACCCTGAGAAGTTGCAAAACCAACACTTTTGGTTAAGTCTGTCCCATTAAATGTCACTTTTCTGATTTGTCTGTAGCGACCTGTTTACAAGGCACGTAGTTTTTAGGTCTGAATATGAATACATTAACTAAAAATAGTATTCAGAGGAGTTTTTGTGTTTCAGCCAAATAGCTTTTCTAAACCCAAGTTGATGTCAAATTTTTCCATAAGACTCAGTGATAGAGATGATCACAGTTGACAGCGTAAGTCACTTGATACATGTTTTTAAAGTCCCGTGGTATGTATTCCATTTAGTGTTTCACCCTGTTAGTGTTTATTGAATATTCCTCATATTAATATATTTTGAAAAAATGAAATAGCTAGATAAATCTATTTCTTATGAATTTTCCCCTGAAATTTAAACAAGTCATGACCAATTGTTTTCATTGTTCCTGGGGCAAGAGTAAACAGCAAATTTATAAAGAAAATAAATGCTTATGTGCATGTTTGGGGGCATACAACTTTCATTAAAAAGAAAGTATTAAAACATTTTATTTAATCTCAAATGTTGTGCGGAGACTTTCACCAGTATGCACTACCCTACTATCCAAGACCTTTCTTCCCCGCAACTGAAGTCAAGGACCCTTTTCACACTTTGAGATTTTTGTGGGTATATGGTGCTTACCTTTATGTTTATAGACCAGTCAGCGCTTGAGGGGTGATATCAGTACAACACCAGCGTCCTTTTGGTCAGATCAAGAGAGAATAACCAAAAAGAGACACACACCTTCTTGGTAGAATTGGTTTCCTTCATCACCAGGCCGAACATAAGCCTTGCTTCCCAAAACACAAGTGTTGGGGCTTATTCAGGTTTTATTCATCGGAAAATTTAGAAACATTCAGTTTACTCGTGTTTGTCCCAAGTAATAAAATAAATGCATGCATAAATATTCAGATTTGATAGCTAATTTTAATAAATGTTGCGATGTCAGTATGATTCATATTGTGTTAACTAAACGCTTTATTTATTTATGTTTTTTTTTAAATAATTTTTTGTGTCTGTAAAATAAGATAATCCCCTCCCGGAGGCTCCATTTTTTTTTACACTGAAACTCCAAAAAAGCTTCGTTTCCAAAGGGTTAAATTAAAAACCAGTTGCATCCAGTTTCTGATCACAGAAATTTGCATAATAGCAAACCACTCCATTCTTCACAGTCTAAACCCAGTTAAATATTTACTTGTGTTTAACCACTTAAATAGATGTTTTTATTGTTTGTACTTAAATAGATGTCGGCTAAGTCGATGTGAACGCTTCGTAATGCTGGGATGTCGGGTTCGATCCCAGCTGCAGGCCTTGCGTTGGTGGACCACCCAGAAAGCAATGGCAAACTACTGAACATAAATTTGCCTAGAGAAACCACACAACAGCCAGGGGCTGCTGGGGTTGGTTCTCCAAAGTTCTGTAACGGATATGAAACTAACCTTAACTTAAATAGATGTTTTTATTGTTTGTATTTAGAGTTTGTATTGTTTGTACTTGAATAGATGTTTCTATTGTGTGTATGGTCATTTAGCTTGATGGCGAGGATGATGATGATGATGAAGCAGACATCCCAGAAGCTCATGATCAGGATGCAGCTGAGTTTGGCTGGTTTAATGATCTATATGTTCTTGACACAGGTTAGTCTGGCTGGTTTAATGATCTATATGTCCTGGACACAGGTTAGTTTGGCTGGTTTAATGATCTATATGTTCTGGACACAGGTTAGTTTGGCTGGTTTAATGATCTATATGTTCTGGACACAGGTTAGTTTGGCTGGTTTAATGATCTATATGTCCTGGACACAGGTTATTTTGGCTGGTTTTATGATCTCTAAGTTCTGGACACATGTTAATCTGGCTGGTTTAATGATCTATATGTTCTTGACACAGGTTAGTCTGGCTGGTTAAATGATCTATATGTTCTTGACACAGGTTAGTTTGGCTGGTTCAATGATCTATATGTTCTTGACACAGGTTAGTTTGGCTCGTTCAATGATCTATATGTTCTGGACATAGGTTAGTTTTGCTGGTTCAATGATCTATATGTTCTGGACACAGATTAGTCTGGCTTGTTCAATGATCTATATATCTTGGACACAGGTTAGTTTGGCTGGTTCAATGATCTATATGTCCTAGACACAGGTTAGTTTGGCTGGTTTTATGATCTCTAAGTTCTGGACACAGGTTAGTCTGGCTGGTTCAATGATCTATATATCTTGGACACAGGTTAGTTTGGCTGGTTCAATGATCTATATGTCCTCCACACAGGTTAGTCTGGCTGGTTTAATGATCTATATGTCCTGGACACAGGTTAGTCTGGCTGGTTTTATGATCTATATGTTTTGGACACATGTTAATCTGACTGGTTTAATGATCTATATGTCTTGGACACAGGTTAGTCTGGCTTGTTCAATGATCTATATGTCCTGGACACAGGTTAGTCTGGCTGGTTTAATAATCTATGTGTCTTGGACACAGGTTAGTCTGGCTGGTTTAATGATCTGTATGTTCTTGACACAGGTTAGTCTGGCTAAGTTAACTACAACTCCTTGAATTGTGACTTCTTATAGCTAAAATTGTTGATCCATTTGGCACAGGGCACAGATTTAATGAAGTGCTTTTGACTTTGGAAACCAGTCTCACACAACTGATCTTTTTATTCTTTGCTTTCGGCTCTGGCGAACATTTTTGGTTGTTTATCCACTTGTGCATTTATAATAGATTAAAATTTACAGCCAAAATTTGTCAGTGGTAATGTACAGTTCATAACATTGTTCAGTACAAAGTGGCTCCTGTCATTCCCTATGCCAGGAACTTGTCGTGGTCGCTTTGTGACCATTTTTATTGTCTCGATTTTACATTTATCCCTTTCTACACACTGTGCACCTTCTTCTGTAATTAGATGTACATTCAGAAAGCCTTGCAGATCTTCTCCATACTCGTCAGATGATGATGACTGTCAGACACATTATCTTTAAAATCTACAAGTTGTGAATGAATACTTTTACTAGAACTATCAGTATCAGAAACTGCCGCAGAAGTGTTTGCTGCCGAAGGTGTGAGTTCTGGTCGAGTCTTAGTTAACACTTGACTTTGAAGCATCTTGCCGTTGTTTCACTACCGATGATGTTTTTGATGGCACTTCATAAGATTTATGTTATGCATGACCATCACGATCCCTTAACGGCATGACGGAAATTTGGTCGGTGTGTCAGCAACATAGGAGCTCACAATGAAAATTCATAAAAAAAATTTACTTTAAACATTACAGAGTTGTTTCCCTTTAAGAAATATAGAGAAATGAATGGGCTAAAGGCTGAACTAAATTCAACACAAAAATTGTGATTTTAACATGACCACCAGTGTCTTAAGTTATGATCACAAGGGGTGCGATCGCGGTAGCCAGACCTAAATCCCACATGATCACATAACATGTGATCATGGTAGTCAGAAGGTTAAAACAAATCTGTGTGCATACTTTTGCTCCTTGCCTGTCAGTCAGGTGCACTCAAACTTAAAAGGAAATGACTAATTAGTTGACTGTTATGACATGCCCCCGACCCACCAAAATTGTACCCCAGAATCTACATGGATTTTTGAGGTCAATATAGGAGGCATTGAAACCAACTTTTCATGGAAACAGTCAGTATAGGTACCTTAGGATGGCTTGTGCATTGAATTGAAGGACTGAACACATGGGAATGTGAAGTGATAACAACACAACAGTAGACCTATTAGCACTCACTGCATTTAAGGTAAACACATGGCGATGTCCACAGCTTTTAGTTCACTGCTGCCTCTTTCAAGCTCAAAAGATCATACATAAAAGTCTAGGTGAGAAAATAAGAACAGCATCACAGGTGTTCTACTTCCATAGGGCCTAAATGCACACTCCTTGTATGGAACAGATGTGTTGACAAAGTGTTTTTTTAAGTCCAGACTGTGTGGGTTCCGCGGCCCCATTGTGGGGAAAACAAGAACAGACCCACTGCTTACCCAAAAGCATGTCGTAAGAGTTGACTAATTGGGGCGCTTCCTTTGAAGTCAGAGTGCATCTGCCTGAGAGGCAAGGAACCAGCAGTCTGCATTCAGGCAAATCAGATCTGTAAAACTGATGCACACACGAAGAGGAAGAAGTCTAGAGTAAATGTATCATGTAGAAATATACATAACATTAGTTGTTAAACACAAGTCATATTGTTTGGCACTGTAAGGGTCAAAGTATATGCAGGATCACAACTGATGATGTATGAAGAGGAGGAAAATAACTATAGGTTGGAAGCCAAAGATGCCAGTCGTAGCAAGTTTAATCTGGCTCGATAATTCATTGCAGCATCATATATTTAAACATGTTTAGAATTGATAGGAAGATGTTTATACTGTCGTTTCAGTCAATTTGAAATGGTCGCAGCCGATGCAGATGAACCTTGGGGTGCCAACTGAAAGAGCTGCACATGGAATGTGTGCAATAGGTCGTAACCTAGTCATTTTTGGTGGCAGAGATATAGAAGACAGGCAGAACGATCTGCATATATTTAATGTTGGTAAGTGAATAGTTCTTATCAAAATACTGTTTATCTTTTACAGTTACACTTACTGTTAAGTTCTCAAGTTTAAAAAAAAACAGATACCCAGACATTTCAGTCTATTAGCCCTCATGATACCAGTGATCAATAAAATTTTAACAGAATGTAAATTTTGTTGTAGCTTCTCACTTTCTGTTTGCAGCTTTGTTGGGTCAAAATTTGTAACACGACTTCATCTCTTTTAGTTGTGCTCCAAGTTTCTGAGCCATATAAATCAACCGGTCCTATCAGCGTTTTGCATTCTGCACACATAAAATATCCCTCAGCTTTTAGGAGTGACGTGAGCAGGCCAGATGGAGGACTAACAAGCCTAAATTTTTGGCAGCAGATTGCCAACTAATGTAATGATGACTATCAGAAGGAAAGAAAAAAAAATCTTAGATTCATTTATTTTTAAAAGTCTATACATACAGTGCACAATTTTCTTAGTATTTATGATCTAGATTTTCCCAGTTTGGGTTCTGGGGCCACATTTCGGGGAAAACAGGAATAGATCCACTGCCTACCTAAAAAAAAAAACATTTTATAGTAGTTGACTTTTTCTTCTTCGCGTTTACCAGCTGTAAACTCTTGACAGAAAGTTCTGGTCGTTCGTCCACTTCTGGACTGCAGTCCTGTTCCAGAACTTGAGTGTTGTATGTGCATCTGTTTTACAGATCTGACTTTTTTGTATGCAGACTGTTGGTTCCTTGTCACTCCGGCAGATGCACTTTGACTTCGAAGGAATCTCCCAATTAGTCGACTATTACAACATGCTTTTGGATAGGCAGTGGGTCTGTTCTTGTTGTTCCCTATAACAGAACCCCGGAACCCACACATGGAATAGTAGTTGACTAATTATGGGCTTCCTTCAATATCGGAGTGTGTCTGTGTGAGTTGCGAGGAACCAACAGTCTGCATATAGTATGACCCGATCTTTAAAATGGATGTGCAGTGCAACACTCAGATTCTGTAACACAACGAGAGTCTGGAGGGGGACTAACAGCCATAATTTTTGGCCGGAGTTTACAGCTGGTGAACGCAACGAAAAAGATAACCCTAGGTTAATTCATTTCTAGTTTTTCTGTCACCTGAGATATTTGTAATAATTGTTTCAGCTACTAAAACTCCATTCACTTGAAGGTTACCCGGCCTCGATTGTTCACATTCTAAAATTATTGAACACAAGTCACACATTGTTTGAGGTTTAGCAGTAGAACAATTGCAGAATACCATATTTCCCTGAAAATAAGACCTAACCTGAAAATAAGCGTAGTTTTTCAGGTTGTTTGTAAATTAAGCCCTCTCCCTAATATAAGCCCTAGTTTAAGTAAAGATCATTGGACAGATTTCTCTCCTTTGTTGAAACATTTAACAGATATGTTGAACTATAAAGATGTTCCAGAAAAAGATGATAGGACTGTATTAGAATAAATGTAGATTTTTTGTGACTCAAAACAATACTTAAAAAAATTTAATTTTTTTTTTTAAACATGTTAATGAGACTTCCACTGAAAATAATCCTTGAGGCATCTTAAAGCAAAAATTAGTACCTGCTTTTAGTTTCAAAAGAAACAGTATTACAAATCTTTAAATTTTTGTTTTTTAAAACTGATTCTAAGTTTTGTAAAATATTAGATACTAGGAAATGGATGACAGATCTACAAGTTGGAGGCAAAGTACCAGCACCCAGATCTTTCCATACACTCACTGCTGCTGGAAATAAGGCAGTGCTATTTGGTGGCAGAGGCAGAGATGACAAGCATTTTGACACCTTTGATGTTTTTGATATAGGTATGGCTGATAAAATCATGAACTGTCGTTCTGTAGCAGTGTAGTTTTGTTTCAGTGAGTTGTGTCTATTTTCGTGATACGCAAATTAAGAGCTTTTGTAAAATGAAAAAAGGCAACTCATTAAGAACTTGCTGAAATCAGATGTGTTGGGCTCAAAAGCACAGATATTGCAGCCTTGCTGTGAACCGCAGCACAACTGCCAGCCACCCTTTAAAGGATGACAGTGATGAAGATAGTCCCATTACACCATGAGTCATTGGATTACCAGTTGCTGTTGATTGTCTAATTGGTTCCCTCTACCTATTGGTCAGATGCAGTTAGCTTGATATTTGTCTGGCTGATGCCTGTCCAATCATCCGAATTCCGTATCCAGGTCTTTGGTCTGTAATCATCATCATCATCATAAACAACTTCTGCCGTTAAACGTCGTGGGAAGGAATAATTTGCGATCCAGTGCACGTTGGCTGCCACTGGCTATTATGCCGTGAAGGCGTAGAGTGTCTTTAATGTTGTCAATCCATATTTTCCGCGGCTGTCCTCTTGCTCTTGTATTTGATCTTCTGAGATGTAGTACTTGTGATAGTATTTGATCTTGCTGCATTCTAACAAGATGGCCAAACCACCTGATCTGCTGTTTCTCGATGAATCTAGTACAAGGTGTCGCTCCCACAATTTGCCTGATATTTTCATTATTCATTCGATCTCATATGGTTAGGTTGGCTGCTTTTCTCAGGCACCTCATCTCGCAGGTGGTGTGCGTATATGGGCTTTAGATAGTGTCCATGTTTGGCACTGGTAGCTTAATGTTGGAATGAATATGTTATTGATAATCTGTCTCTTTGCACTCATAGTTATGCTTGGATGTCTTAATAATGGTGACAATTGGTATATAAGTACACTTGCTTTCTGACTGACATCTGGTTTCTATTTCTCTGTCAATTCTACCATCTTCTGTGATCATACTTCCTAGATATTTAACCTCCCTAACTTGATTCAGGGCAGAACAATTCAGCTGTATGTGTAGTGGGGCAGGGGTTCTTCTAACTTGCATTGTTTCTGTTTTGTTTACATTGATCTTCATGTTGTATTTACTACATGCTGAGTTTAACCTGTTAATGTGGTCTTGCAGTCTATGTTCTTGGTCTGTAATGAACATTTAATATTTGCAGGATTCTTCTTAGACATTTTTTTTAAAAGTCTCTCGTTGATAAGTAATTTCTTCTGCCATTTTCAAGCTTTTTTATGATAGCATTGTGTTAACTATGAGACCATGATAGTGCAGTGGTTAAAATGCTTGCCTGTGAATCTGCGTGTCATGCCTCGGAATCCAAATTGTGGCAGGTTTTTTAAAATATTGACCTGGCTTTGCCTCTGGTATTCTCAAGATATGAAAAGAAGAAAATCAAAATCAGATTGGAATAGCAACACTCAGGGCACATGGTGTAGCCCGACACTCAGAATGGCCACATTAAACATCTGTGTTAGGAAATTAACACAAGAATAGCAAAAGACAGGAAACTACATGTGACTTCACTCTGCAGTGCTTTGCAACAGAACATTAGGACAAATGAAGACATGGGCTTCCAAATCCGGCCAGATTAAAATGGCTCTCGGGAAATTTTCTAGGAAGTAAAAAAAGTCACTGATGTGTTATTAATCACAGCATCCATCATGTGCAGATTTGTCTGTGAAAATTTCACAGTAGTCCCAGTCAACCAGGAGGTGCTTATGTAATTTAATTCACTAAATAGGTTGTAAAGGTGTTATGATGGCAAACTGGCTAGACACTCACCTGTCTGAAAGTTTTGTGTTCGAATCCCAACAAATTTTGTCATCTTCAGAAATAATCTTGGCTCCCAGATTGACCCAGTACCAGGTACAGTCTTAGGAGGTAAAAGTGGCCAGTGATGGGACACTTGCATGAAAAGGGCCCTCTACTTAAGTATATTGTAAGGAATGTTGAATTGAGAATCGCCATCACAGTACTCAGGACACTCCCATAAGCACTGCACCCCCATATTCAGCAGCAAGCAAAATGTTCCTGTGCAGATGGTGCTAGTAACTGTCTGCTTGTATATCCATCTTGCCTTTCCCTTCAGTGTTGAGTGTTAGTCAGGTCCCCTGGTAACTCCTCGCAGCACCATTTTCTTCAGACCCTAATGATCTGTCTGTGCCTCAGCATTGTTCACTTGCTCCCAAAGGGCCCTCACAATATCTAGTTTGTCATACATCATTTCACCACTAAGTACTGCAGAACCGGGCAGTCTATCTGCCTGCTCGTTTTCCAACGCACCAGCATAACCTGGAGAAAATATTCTAAGGACGCTAATTACCCAGGACTTCTGAAGCAATGCTTGAAATGTTGTAAGGGGAAACTAAGGAAAGTTGACATGGTTTAGCTATATCATCCTGGAGAAGACATTAGCTTTCAGAATCCACCAGTGAGTACCTAACCTTTGTTTCCATGACATGTTTGTTGCAGACCTCAAGGAATGGGTCCCAGTTACTATAGAAGGGGACAAACCAGCAGCCAGAGGTCTTCATTGTGCTGTTGCAGTCGGAGATTCTTTATTTTTATTTGGTGGGTCCGGAGACTTTAGTCCAGAGATCATGCAGTGTCAGACATTTTTTACTGATGCATACCTCGTCAAGTTAGGTAAGTTGTGTACTTCTCTGTGAGTGGAGGTTTCACTGGCTAGCATCATTATCATTTTGTGCCATCATACATGACATAGGCCTCTCAGTTTATTCTGCTTCTTTTTTTTATTTATCATTCGCTGTAAACTCCAGCAGAAAGTTCTGGTTATTCCTCCACTTCTGGACTTGAATCTGGTTCCTGAACCTTTTCTGCATGGATGTCAGTTTTATAGATCTAGCTTATTTGTACACAGACTATTTGTTCCTTGTCTGCCAGGCAGATGCATCTGTAAGGAAACCCCTAATTAGTCGAGTCTTAGGACATGCATATTATGAAGGCACTAGATGCATTCTTTTTTCCCCCTCACCAAAATGGGAGCTCAGAACCCATGCAGGGACATTTAATTCTATCTCTTTATGTATAGGCACAGTCTGTGTATGCAATGTTAATAGAATTGCAAATTGCACTGTATATAAATCTAGAGATAAACATTCTTTTGTTGTGATTTAATTTCAGAAGACTTTTCACGACAATGAACTGCTAGCTTTCACTGACAAACAGATGGATCCGAATACTTATTTCCATGGACATGTGCATACAGTTGTTCATAGAATTGTGAGAGAACATTTCTTGTTTCAAGGAAGAATACAACAGGTGGTATCACCGGCTTTGTGAGATTTTCCATATGTGTGTTTGTTTTCACACAAGTATAATGTCACTGTCTCACTAGTTTGTGTTTACAGGCACACTGCTGTTAAGCATTGTTTCTCTTTTGTTTACTACTCATCACTGAATAGTAAAAGACTATCTTTATGGCAGATATGGTCCAGTGGCCCCGAAAAATACTTGTTAAAAAGGAGAAGCTTGTGTAGTCCAATAGGAGTTTACGGTGCAGACCACTTGAGGCAATCTTGCAAGTGACACATTTCTATTGTGAAGACAAGTTGTTTATCCCTGGCAGTTTTTCTTGCTTGAATTCTTATCTGGATAAGAAGGATTTCTGATAAGAAGAGCCATTTCTTGGGTCCCTGGTGAGTTATCCTTATCCAATCTGCACTGTACAGGTACAAATAAAACAACAAAGGGAACTGGAAAAAAAAGGAGATGAATCTGATAACAGCAAGATGAAGTATAAATCTTTAGCACTAGAAATAAAATAACAAAACACAAGGAAGGACAAAAACTAGTATATACATGATTGTTATATTAAAATAGAGCAATATCAGGTGAAAGGAAGAGATTCCGAAATGTTCAGAGAAACAAAGTTTTTGACAAGAAATGTTCAACCTTGATTAAATATTATTTGTGAAAAGTTGGAAAATACCTTGACAGAATCTAGAGAAATTCTAGAAAGATGGAGGGAATACTGCAGTGGAATCTATGATATGAATGACTGTGAGGATATGAATGATATATATGTACCAATGACAGCAGAAGCAGAAACTGAACCCTCATTAGATAAAACTGCATGGGCAGTAAAAGAGCCTGAAGAATGGTAAATCACCAGGATGTGATGAGATACTAGCTGAACTAATTAACTTTGAAAGAAACTTTGGGAAATAGTGAAGAATATAAGCTTTCCAACACATGTAGTACACCTCATAACAATGCTCTGTCTAGACCAACAAGCAATGGTTAGAATGGATGGCAAGACATCAGATCAGTTTGACTTCAGGCAAGGTGTCTGTCAGGGCTGTGTGCTGTCACCCTGTTTGTTTAACTTGTACACTGAGAATATAATGAGAAATGTCAGAGATGACACAACCAGAGAGCAACCTAAAGAAATAGGGAAAATCATAAATCATATCTCAACATAGCAAAAACAAAGATAATGCATACAGATAAAACTATTATGGAGAAAGAAATATATGGTAATGAGGAAAGATTAAAGGTTGTAGACACTTTTAAGCATCTTGGGTCATTGATTACCAACAATGGTGACATAATGAAACAAATTAAATGAGACTATCAGTTCCTCTTTAAAGGCTGAAAAAAACTGAATAAATTATGGAGTGGGACAGATAGAACTACAAAAATTAGATCTCTAAGAGCATGTATCGTTCCTATTGCAGCATACGCCTATGACACCTTGACACTTACTAAACAAGCTCCCCCGTGTGGGTTCCGGGGCCTCATTATAGGGAAAACAAGAATAGACCCACTGCCTCCCCAAAAAGCATGTTGTAAGAGTCGACTAACTGGGGAGCTTCCTTTGAAGTCGGAGTGCATCTGCCTGAGAGGCAAGGAACCAGCAATCTGTATACAAATAAGTCAGATCTGTAAAACAGATGCACACACACAAAACTCAGGTCCTGGAACAAAGCCAAAGTCCAGAAATGGATGAACAACCAGGTCTTCCCACTAGAGTTTACAGCCGGTGAACGCAAACAACAACGACACTAAACAAGCTGACAGCGCATAAATGCCTTTAAATACAAATGTTATAGGCGGTTTCTAACAATATCATGGGTAAAGAAAAGAACAAATGCATTCATACTTCAAGAAGAAAGTTGGCTATTAAAGACGATAAAACATAGAAAATTGAAAAATTTTGGTCACTTAAACCATCATAAAAGTTTAAAGAGAACAATAATGTAGGGGTATAAGCCTGGGAAGAGAGGAAAAGAAAGGCCAAAGAGAAGATGTGTGCAGGGTGTGGTGGATGATCTCCAGATGGGTGTATCGGACGCGGGATGTCTTGAGATCGAGTTTTTCTGGAGGGTTGTTATCAGAGCAAGGTTCTTCAAGGAACATACTACTGGCTGGCTTATAAGTTAAATTCATTGTTTCTATCAAGATGATTGCTACACTACGTTTTTATTTTCTTTTAAATTATTTAATTTTCAGCATCAGATTGATTACAAAGATGATGAAGCTCTCACATGGACACATATTGTTATTGTTATCCAGGGTTAACTTATATGGGTATATCATCTCCTGAAGGCAGTCCACGTGTAAATGTTAGGCTTTCCAGATTTGCTTCATCATTTGGCTGTAGTTCTTATTGTAAAATGTTTTTGTCAGTTAGTTTTGATTTTTAATAGTTATTCTGATTGGCCCTTCACTATAACACGTGGAGTGTCCTACTTCTTCAGGATTCTTTCTTAAAAAGGTTTTTGGCATGTTGTGCTTTACAGCTAGGCTGTGATATGTGTGCCGTTTGGCCAGATACACTTGATTTCTGCAAACCCATTTAGTTGCCTTTTTACTATTGGAAATTTACAATTTACATTTTTATGAAGTAGTGGTCCTACTGTAATGCTATATACAATCGGTTTATCCCCTCTGGGCTTGAAGGTTTATGATGCCATCCGGAGATTTAAAAATCCTAATCTAGAGGCAGACTGACAAGTCAGATACCAGATAACCTGTTCAACCTCCAAAGAAGTTATAATTCGATCACCTGTAATGGCGACACTAGCCAGGTGTTACCCCAGTCCTCTGTAGGTAAGTACGCTGTATACAACATATGTTGTGAAGTACGGTCGGTATTCAGACAGCCTAAGAAGCATCTAATAGCAGAAATTTGGGCTCTACTGGCAAATTTGGCCGGTAAGCTGGACTGCTTCGGCCGGCTTAGCGGGGGTTTCGTGGGAGTTATGTCCCTTGGCCAAACTCAAAACAAGTCACGGAAAAAGTCACGAATCAAACGGCATACTTACCTATCATCATCCGGGTGCGTGTAGGGTTGCGTAGGGTGTCTATCATCGTCCTACGGTTGCGTGTAGGGCTGCTTATTGCGTGTAGGGTTGGTTGTTTGCGTGAGATAGATGAGGGGTAGGGTTAGGGTTAGGTGTAGCGTTAGATGTGACAATTATGACGCCGTAGTTCCCTAAAATCGCGCACAGTCGCATGCACGAGCAAACAGTCGACGGACGGTGGATGCTACTGACACGGACAATTCGCCGCCACCGATTGGGGCACCAGCCGCCACGCGCTATTGCCGTCAAATTTGGCACACTTCCAGTGGCGCCACTCCCACAAGCATCAGATTGTCGGCCAGTATTTCCACCTCCTACGTGAATATTTTCACATCATCTAACCCTAACCCTAACCCTATCCCTAACCCACACCCACACCCCTAACGCTACCTCTAACCCAAACCCTACGCAACCCTACACGCAACCGTATGATGATGATAGACACCCTACGCATCCCTATATACAAACGTATGATGATGATAGACACCCTACGCGCAACCGTATGATGATAGGTAACCCTAGACGCCACCCTAAGCAGCCCTACACGCACCCGGATGATGATAGGTAAGTATGTCATTTGATTCGTGACTTTTTCCGCGACTTTTTTTGAGTTTGGCGAAGGGACATAACTCCCACGAAGCCCCGCTAAGCCGGCCGAAGCATTCCAGCTTACCGGCCAAATTTGCCAGTAGAGCCGAAATTTGTTTCTCGGGAAAAGGCAAAGAATACCATGGACAAACAGAAAAGTGAAAATTGCAGTCCTACAAGAAAGTTCAAAACCACACATTGATTAGACCCACATAGAAAATCTTGATTGTGGGTGGGGGGGGGGGGGGGGGGGGGGGCTCTCACACGGAGCCCTGGAACCCAAACAGATTCATACGATGCATTGCTACTTTAGAAGATTCTGTTGATCTTTATTGCTACTGTTTGACTTGCCAGGTACCAGACATAGTAGTAGTGAAGAACCCTTCTCCTGCCTTTGGAGCATTGAGCATATGATGTTTTTACATTTTTATAGGCCAATTATGCCCTTGATCGGTGATGTGGTCAGCATCACACCAGCCACCATTACCTCCCAGGATATTATCTGTCACCCATTTTAGACCAGGTCGTCCTTGGAGCAATGGTCTGTGGTGCCAGACATGGCTGATGAGAATTCTGTGAGATTCATATCTGCTTACTCCTTCTGTCCCAAATAAAGCAATGTATGAGTGGCTGATGTCCACATGCATGAAGCAGCTCACAGTGTATGAAAATATATTTCTTACATTTGGTCTCAGGATCTGAAAAATATCTGGCCACATATGTTAACAA